TTTAAAATGATTTTCAATTAAACCTCTGCTGTTTCAACTTTTGGAGAACAAGACCATTCAGGAGTTGGCAAAGCTTTACGAATTCTCCATCATTCGTCTAGTCAGTCATTGAAGGCTGACTAGAGATGGTTAAGATATAATGCTTATGAAGAATAGTAAAAGAACAAAGCTGATTTTTCCCAAGAAAGGAAACAGAAAAAGGACTGGTCATTTGCCAGGAACTAAAGTTACATTCATGTTTAAATCTCAGGAGAGCTTCAAGTTTTTCTCTGAAATAACCATCTCAAAGGTTGCAACACATTTCCTTGCCTTGCTTCAGAATTCAAAGAATCTGAATGTTGTCCTCTCCCCCTCATTCACTATTAAGTATACATTAAACATCCTAAAGAAACACATTCAATCTTTTATGGTAAATGGAGTGTGAGACAAATATGTACACATGAAATACATGATCAGATGTCAAAATGAGTAGACGGGACAAAAAGGGATGGAGTTTAGGGAAGAATAAAAGTAGTCAAGGAAAGCCTCTGCCCAGGACAGAGCTGAACTGTGTGTGGGAAACTGAGGTTATAGGCAATGTCACATCACAAGAAGAAAAGAACCTACCGGGGCTGAACATGGCACTTCTAGAGGACAATGAAGAGTCAGGCTTGCTTAGAGCCAACAGTTTTTATTCTGGACATTTGTAACAACTGGAGAGACCTAGATAATCCTGAGTAGCCTCTTAAGTTTAACTTTATCCTGGAAGATGATTTGAGACTAAAGACTATATAAGAACATGGGACACAATGAAATGCATGGTCTTGGAAGAATTTCTCCGTAAACTCCTTTGGCATTAACTTTAGAAAATGGAAAATAACCCTTCTACAGGGCTCAGCAGTAGAGCAAAATAATTACAAGAGCAGGTTCCTAGAGTCACCATGCCTGCCTGGGTTCATGGCCTATCTCTCCCATCAAGAGCAGTGACACAGGGGTCAGTCACTTAAGCCTTTCTGGACCTTCATTTCCTCACTAGAAAAGGTTGCTGTGGGGAATAACTGAGCTCCCACCTAGAGCATGTAGGGTGACCAGCACACAGTAAGAACACAGTCAGGACTAAATCCTCTGCTTAGAATTACCATGGGTGACTATTTACTCTAAGTTATCAAAGAATATAGAAAGAATCTCATTATCCTGTAAGATTATCTGAGATTCAAAGGGGGAAAAAGTCCCTTCTGATGGTCACTAAATTATGGGCTAATACCTTGCCAAGATTATTTCTCAATATTCTGGTTAGGATGAAGTGTATCTTACATCAAGAAGGGTTTGGTGAAATGGGAAAGCATATTGGCCAGAGAATCCAGAGATGTTGATTCCACTGGGTAAAGCGGACCTCCGAAGTCAAGTATCTCAAATGTACAATAAGGTGCTGATGACCTCAGGTAACAAATTTAGCCAGGCAAGTCTGCAATTCTATTGCCGCTATACAATGATAATGGGCACAGCACTAGAAGTTACCCAATGGAGCATGTGCTGAAATGGGGAACATATATTACTGGACACAAACTTAACTTCTTGAGAGAGAAAGTTCTAAAACTCTCTAGGAACTGTGGGTAGCTCTACAACACGCTGAGCGTGCAGGATGCCCTTGCAGGATACTGACATCTGATAGGCTGTGCTGCCAGCCTTGTGTCATGTTTGCTATCTTTTCTATGGCACAGTGCAGGCCTCAGTACTCAAAGCTAAATTATTCTTTGCCCTTCCATAATTTAGTTATTCTGTGCCTGTTGTGCATTGATGCCTTTGAGCATGTGGACATCTGACTGCCTTGCCCTGTGACTGTTCCCTCCCCTAGACTACAGCAATAGTCAGTCCTGGTTTTTGTTTTTATTACCAGACAGGTTTCTGGTTGTTCTTCACTACTATCAGAGAGTATGCTACGTGAGATCCATTAGTGCCATTCTCTTTCCTTTGTTCCTTTCCTGTCTCAGGCTTTATCCACAGTGGCCATATTTGTGTGATAAAGCCAGTGTTCCATGGGCATCAAACAGCCCTTACCATCCAATCAAACCACCTCCCCTCCCTTCTCATGGGACACGTGTGCTCATCAGGTCCTGAGTGCTTATTGTCAGGGGCTTGGGACTGCCTACTTGTGATCAAAAGAGCATGGGATTAGAACCCAGAGAATCTAGGTCACAGTCACCATTTTGTCACTTACTAGCTGTGTGACTTTGGGTAAACATACACTTTAGTGTCCTCTTAGGTACAACATGTACATTGCCTCTTTTTCAGACTGCAATGAGGAGTAAATGAGTGAATGACAGAGTGAAACCAAAGGGTACTGGGAATGATTTCAGCTCCTTCTAGAAATGAAGAAGCCATGAGAACACTGGGAGGCTGGCCTCCAGAGAGTCATGGTTTTCCTTTATTTAATCTATTAAAAGCCCAAGAGGAATTCTGAACCTCATCCCCAAATAAGCTCTTCAGAACAATAACATGCCTTGAATTAACCATATTTATATAGCCCTTTCCACTTTAGAGATTTATTATTCATAGCTGGAATGTCAGCTAAATCAGATGTCTCAAAGTATTTATCATTTTTCTAATTAAACAAAAATACAGAAAAGTAAAAAAAAAAAAAATTTAAATCACCCATAATCCCACCACCAAGAGAAAAACATTAACATTTTAATGAATCTCTTTCTAGGCCTTTTTCTGATTAGTTTTTAAAAATACATGTAATGGGGGCACCTGGGTGGCTTAGTTGCTTAAGCATCTGCCTTCAACTCAGGTCATGATCCCAGGGTCCTGGGATTGAGCCCTGCATCAGCTCCCTGCTCCTCAAAGAGCCTGCTTCTCCCTCTCCCTCTGCCTACTGCTCCCCCTGCTTGTACACATGCTTGCGCTCTAATAAATAAAATCTCAAAAAAATTTAAAAAATACATGTAATGTATTGCATACTTTATTTACATATGCATTTAGCAACTAATGTTTTCCATGTAATGATATATCAAACATTCCCCCAATTTCCAACTCAGTTTTCAAATGAAGGGTGTTTTGAATATATTTCACAATTATTCACATATGAACATCATACACCAACAGAAAGTTTTAAAAATCAAACTTTTCTGGTTAATTTTAGAATCTCCAGAGAGAGTTAAATGTTTACAATTTAAAAAAGTTTTATGCATTAGTAAAATTCAATTAATGAATAAATGTAAAATACTAAAAAATAAATCTAAGTACAAGAAAATCAATACTATGTAGATCATACCATTTAGAATGCCACATTTTTCTCTCAACTGACATTTTTTTTTTGATATACTTAGGGTGCTAACAAATGAAAGGAACCATGAATAAAGCAATCTCTATGGATAACTGATCAGATTATTGCCTTCATTCAAACCTGGATCAGAAACAAAGAAACCCTGTGTTCTAGGAGGAAAAAAAAAAACAAAACAAAACCCCACAATAAAATTCAGGATTCTATAAAGTGAGAACCTACCTTATATTCATGCGTCAGTATAAACCAAGCAGTGGTCTTAAATTAAAAAAACAAGAAACAGACTGATCATCACAGCTCATCTACAACTTTAAGAAGCTCTACAAAAACACGGATGTCACTCATTTCAATATGAAGACAATAAAGGCAAGAAAGACCAAAGATCCCTCCTACTTTTAATAAATTAGGGAGACTACTGACAAAAATGGACTCTTAAAAACCATTACTGATCTTTTGCCCTTGGACAAATACTGGTATGCATTTTCTGTTTTAAAATATTTATGCCATGGGCACCTAGGTGGCTCAGTCAGTTAAGCATCAGACTCTTGATTTTGGCTACGGTCATGACTTCAGTGTTGCAAGATGAAGCCTTATGTCGGACTCCATGCTCAGCGAAAAGCCTGCCTGAGATTCTCTTTCTCCTCCTCTACCCTTCCCCCCTACTCGCTCACTTGCTCTCTCCAAAACAAATAAATAAGTAAAATATTTTTTTAAAAAATATTTAAGCCAAAGATAGAGATTAGACAGCCAAACTTTGGAGAATATGGCGAAAAAAAAAAACAACTTTAATAAACCAAAGAGATAAAAACAATGAACAAAAGTTTTCAAGTCACACAAGAAATTCAAATGCTCTACTAATAGGAAAACTCATTCAACTTCACTAATAAAGCAATGCAAATTTAAATAAGACTATTTTTGCACATCAAACTGGCAAGAAAATAAATGGGAGAAAAATATGGAAAATGAACACTACCAAACTCTTGGAGGGCAATCTGGAAGTAGTATCAAAATTTTAAATGAGTATGTCCTTGCAGCAAAATCCCACTTTTATGCATTTCTCCTAGAGAAATAGTAACCTAAGGCATGAAGACATGTACAACCATGTTCACAGAAATATTTGTAACCTGCAGAAAGGAAAATATTTCTAACACCTAAACTGGCTTATCATTTAGAGAATGATTAAGTCACCTATGCTTTATTCACACTAGGAAATGTCACTAAGCCTTAAAAAGAAGAACATGGACATTAAATAATACCACAGCAGGGTGTTCACAATGTGAAAAACAAAACCAACTTCAGATCCCTATGTATGGTAGGTTCTCGTTTGTTACAGAAAACCAAAAATGACACAAGTGATAGAGCTGTATGTTTGTTTTTAAAAATTTATTTGCATATGTACAGAAAATGATCCAGAAGGAGAAACTGTTTCTAGTGTTTCTCCCTAGGGTTATGGCTATATGACAGCAAGAGATGGGGACTAAATTTTTACTTTATAACCTTTCCTGTTGTTTGAATTTTTTATAAGCAGTTATACCACTTTTATAATTTAAAAATAACCGGGGGGGGTGGGTTTCTCTCAAAAACTTTAAATGTAACATACTGTCACAGTAAAATTTAAAAAGTACTTCAGCACATAACTCAGCAAGTTAGGGATTTACCTGCTCAAAAAGTAACATGGAGAGCTAAAGCATCATCTTCAACAGAATTACTAAGCATCAGATGTGAACAATCAGCTTACCTCTTTAGGTGATAGATTTTGTGTGTATATTGTCCCTTTTCTCCATCCTTCTCATAAGGTTCATTTTTTAAGACTTCAATTCCTTCTCCACCACCAGTTTCATTCTTACTAGCTTCTGCAACAGAGTAAAGCTGCCCAACCTGATACTGGAATTTCAGAGCACAGAATTTCATTAAACCAGTAGTACCTGCAGAAATTTCCTATGCTAAAATCTTACCATGTGTGATATAGAAAAGCTTATCCAAACCAATCAGCACATTTGTTTCATAGGAAAACATGACTCAAACTAGAAATTAGTATGTTTAGGAAGACTAACCACCAGAGGATCATAGAGTTTCACGAAACTCTATAATATTTTATGAGATTTCCATTATTTGAGAAAACTCCTAGCTTAAAGAAAACTCCATACATAGCCTTAGTATGTACTATCCACTTACCAAGAAAACATATTGATGCTTGGCCCAACACTTTTGTATAAAAATACATTTGTGTTTTCCATAGCACTTTCACATCTATTTTAGCCCATTTAATTTCACAAAATTCTGGAAAAATTGGGACGCCTGGGTGGCTCAGCGGTTGAGTATCTGCCTTTAGCTCAGGGCGTGATCCCGGGATCCGGGACTGAGTCCCGCATCAGGCTCCTTGCATGGAGCCTGCTTCTCCTCCCTCTGCCTGGGTCTCTGTCTCTCTCTGTGTATCTCTCATGAATAAATAAAATCTTAAAAAAAAAAAAAAAAGAATTCTGGGAAAAAGGTATGAAAGGAATATAATTGTTATTCTGCCAATTAAGAAAAACTAAGCAACCAGAATACCAATGTCAATGATAAAGAGAAGGTATATAAAACTAATAGTAAAGCCTGAAAATACAAAGAACCATTCCAGTCCACATTTTAGTAGACCTCTGGAGTCTTTTTTATCATGACATCTGTCTGATGTGCCCAATTTAGCCCTTGTCCACCTCAAGAGAAGTGGTATTGGGCACCCAGGATCAAAACTGTTTATTGTAAAGTTCTCCAGTAAAAAGAAACTGTTTTTGAAATATTTTAAGTATACAAGAATTACTATAAAAGGCAAGAAAATGTTGGCAGTGGTTTCTATTTCATTTTAAAGTGACCCAGAATTCTCAATGGCCTAAACCAATACCTGTGAGCAGACAATATTGTTCTGTGCCAATGTGGAGCTGCTAAGTTCCAACAAATAATAAAAAGCAAAGTTCTCATGTTCTAATTTGTTCTAGTGACTCAACCATGACACTGTCTCCAATCTCTTAAAATTTGGCTAGATTTCTTCCTCCTGGTGAGGACAGCCTGAAGAAATACTTTTCTTTGTTTTTAAGCATATTTTCAAAGAAAAGCTATCTCTAAAAATGAATCATTCAAAATGAACATTTTATTTGAGACAAAAAAATACAGGTAGTTATAAGCTCAGTAAATATTCATATCTAAAAAGCCCATGTGGATATGACACAATCTTATAGGATAATTTAAATACATACAAACTCAAGCACTCAGTTTGGGTTTAGGAAGCTAGAACCAAACACATTTCTTAAAAGCAATAAAAATAATTTCTGTAGGGATTTTAGAGTGCAGAGAGGATGTATTTCTTTTCTGGTTTTTGTGATACCACACCAGAGTTAGTCTAGTAATGCTACAATCTTTAAGTCCTTTAAAATGTACTTTTCAACACGGTCATATTTTTTTTTTAAATGGGATTAAAATGTCTCTAAATCAAAAGGTAAATTTAATCTCAGTCAGGAACAGAGTAACAGAACTTTACAAAGAAACAACCAGACAACAGCATCCAAAAAAAATGTTATTAATGAATTGATATTTTGTGACATGCCACTGGCCTTTCATTCTCATTTTTAAGACTAATTTAGAGACAGAAATCATGTTTAGTAAGCCTGAAGAGAAGAAAAAGTTGAGATTATTTTCACTGACAACACCAAGACTCAAAGATTTCAACAAGTTGATCCAACAAACTGAAACCAAAAGAAAAATTTTAACAAAAACAAATGTCAATTTCCACATTCAAGTTCAAACAATCAATTGCACAAGTAAAGCACAGGGTGTCTGGATTGCCTTGAATATTTTAATATGGGAAAACCTCAGGCACTACTGAGATATATACAGCTATGTTCAAGTCTACTTTAAACTGTGCCAGACAGCTACTCATTTTTAGTTCCTGCATTTTATTATTATTTTTTTTCCCTTTCTGTCTTCTGTCAGCTGTCACTTCTTAGGTTATCAGTTTGTTTTGTCCCACTTCCAATTTACTGCTTCTAATCTACTGTCAGCTCCAGGAAAACCAGATAACTGAGCAAGTACAAACTGTGTGCAAATTATAAAACGACCCAGCAGGCTTTGTGGGGTTTGCTACACATTTCTCAGTTTCTCTGCTTTTATCCTCCATCCTGTCCATACCACAGAGAGCTGTAACTGAAGGACACACAAGTTCTGAGCAGGTAGCGTATTTCTTTATTATATGCAGATCAAAGGAAACAATAATCTCTGTAAGAGACCATGTCTGGAATACTGTTTTCTTTCTTTTTTTTTTTTTTTTAAATATATTTTTTTAATTTTTTATTTATTTATGATAGTCACACACACAGAGAGAGAGAGAGGCAGAGACACAGGGAGAGGGAGAAGCAGGCTCCATGCACCGGGAGCCCGACGTGGGATTCGATCCCGGGTCTCCAGGATCGCGCCCTGGGCCAAAGGCAGGCGCCAAACCGCTGCGCCACCCAGGGATCCCTGGAATACTGTTTTCATTTGAGAGCAACAACTATAACACAAGGAGTAGTGAGACCATCTGGTGAGAAAGTCTAGAGGTCATGTTATACTAGGCCAAATCAACGTGCTGGGAATGTTTAACCCTGTGACCTCATGCAGAGAAGATGGAACAAAAGAACTTGGGGGGAGGAGAGAGAATGGCCAAGAGAAAAAATGAAGGGCTACCATACACCAGACAGAATAGGCTTATTTCTCACTGCACAAGTGGGAGGAACTGTAAACAGCAAACATTATAGGAAAGCAGGTTTTGGCTTAAAGACAAATGTTTAAAATATCCAACAGTAAACTAGACTGTTTCTCTAAAGAGCAAGTTACTTAGCCTTAAAGTGCTTATTTTGAAGCTGGAACCTTCTTTCTCTGGGATATGGTAACCAGAATTCCTGAACTGGATAAATTAAACTACCTTCTTTAGAGCCTTCTGAAACAAGTGAGTGTAACAGAATTCATTTACAATGAATTATCTGTAATACCTCAAATTATTTTGTCACATAAAATGGAATGTAAAGGTAAGTAAACACAACAGAAGTATGACTTTAGATTAACATATTGAAATATGGGCAGCCCTGGTGGCTCAGTGGTTTAGTGCTGCCTTCAGCCCAGGGTGTGATCCTGGAGTCCTGGGATCGAGTCCCACATCAGGCTCCCTGCATGGAGCCTGCTTCTCCTTCTGCCTGTGTCTCTGCCTCTCTCTGTGTGTGTTTCTCATGAATAAATAAAATCTTAAAAAAATATATTGAAATAAACGGTGTTGATAAAATACAGAAACAAGCAAGACTTACCTCCTGAACAGAACATGGCAAAACCACACGGCTAAAACGACAAAAGAAAAAAAATACATCATAGATGAAATATTTTGTTTTAAAACATAGCTCTCTACACTTAGAAGAACTTTTGCTTAAATCCAATGACAGCAAAATACAAGGATGTCATTGTCTTTACAATGCCTATGGCTCTAAATAAGAATTTTTAAACTGGGGAAATAAAACTACCATTTGTGGGTCTCAATGATCACTTCCATAAGTGTCCTCATTGTACCAGGACCCCAAAAACGCAGTTGCAGACATTCTTGGAGGAAAAAAGGAACAAGAGAAAACTCATCACTGAAAATTGCAGGGTATTGAATATATTATTTTTAGACTGGTCTGGTTGCCCTCATGAAATTTTTAGTATGATTTCATTCACCATCTATATACTGTATGTTCTGTTTTATGATACTTCTCACAGAATATGTTTTGCATATCATGAATGAATGCTTCCAAAAATTGTTCCCCACTACCCAATTATTCTTGTTTTATTAAGATATCCCTTAGATGTAACAAGGAAAAACTTTATCAAAGGAACTACTTTGAACCTTAGAAATAAAACCTGTTCTAGGGCAGACTCAACACAAGGTCAACTGGTGTTTGATCTTGTCCAAGACTTTGTTACCAGACCAACAAAAGACTGGAGGCATAATGCTCCATATAGTCCCAAAAAAGATTATAGTAAATTATTCTATATCACAATATTGTACTTTATCATCAGATTTTTATAGACAAGTACCTTTGCTTATCTCCAGCATAAACTCTGAAAATCCCTAAATATCAACTATCTCATGATAATAGCTGATGTCCAAGACTGCATTTCTTTTTTGGCCTGGTCTTTCTCAGACTTTTCCCTGCTAACCATTAAGGTATCATGCCAGTGTCATGTAAAATTTCATTTTAACTCTCTATTAAAAGGAGGGGGAAAAAATCCCACATCATCTTGATTTTCATTTTATAGAAAATTCCCAATAGTTTTTCCTCATCCCACCTTGTCTTCAGCTGCACTGTCCACCCACCCCTTTCCCTATTCTCAAACATTTATGCTTGAGTCCTTGATTTCCAACTCATGTAAAACATGCCTCTTGTTATTCTCTCCTCCTTCACTATCAGGGGTCACTCATCACTGGTTGTCTTTCTGATAATGGTCACCTCAAGACAATAAACATTCTCAAACATCCTGATTACTGTTCCAATAAAAAATAAAATTATACAAAAAACCCTCTCATAACCCTAATGCTTTTAACTGTCTCCTCAGAGCACACATTAACTTGCTCACTGTCTCAGTAACAGAAAATAAACTGGCGTCAAGAGGGTGTGGTGGGGGGTAGGGGCAGACTAAGATATAGGTTGAGAGCATATTCTAGAAGATAAAGAAAGATATAGACAGAGATATATAGGTTAGGAGCATTTATTCAGGACCTGGAATGCAGTGATAAAAAATCTATTACATTTATTAGGCAAAAAGAAATCCGGGAAGGTTGTTCCAAAAGGCAAGTGACATGACTATAGCTAATCAAAAGAAGTCATCTGTAGCTGGTAAAAAACACTGAGAAACAGGAGTGTGGCGAAAAGCCATCTGTGGAGACACTGACCTAGGGTTTACAAAGACCTGAACCAAGACGATGGACTTTAGAGGAAATTGAAGGGAATAGAGACGAAAGAGTTAAAGACTTCCCGGAACTTTCACAAAATCACTGCTGAGTAACTTTAACTGCTCACTACTGGAAGATCCCTATTTTTATATAACAACACTTTCAGCGAAACTTATTTCACAAAATCAAAGTGACTGATTAAGACATTCTGGATGAATGATGAGTCAAATTCTTCAAGATTTACTCAATGAAAAGTAAAAGGAATAGACAGGCTTTGATTGTCTCTTATTCTCAAATGCACATTCAACTTCTCTAACAATTTGAAAATTTTCAAAATTCTCTGAAAATCCTCAGGAAAATAATTTTCCAGATGGAACTAGCAACTATTTCTTTAAAACCAGGGCTATACACTAATGGCAACTTCATCTATTGCTTAAGTAACAACTTAAAGGGAACTTCCCCACCCTGAAAAGTCATTTCTAACCTTTCAATTTACGTCATAAACAGATGGCATTTTAAAAGGCAACAAACATTTGCCAAAGTATTTTACATTTTACCAACATCTTCACATAAGAATGAACTATTCATTGCTCCCAACCAAAAACAATTTTAGAAAGTTGACTTGCAAGTAGGAAGAACCATTTTTTTCATTCAACAACAATGAGCATTTATAGTATGGTGGCCTAGATGCTATGCCAGGTACAAGAAACAAAATAAAAACAGCCTCTTTTTTCAATCTCTAAGAGGAGAAAAAAAAAAAAGTCTAGGGAGACATGAAGAGTGAATATCAAGAAATGTAATTTATAACTCCTTAGGGAAAAAAAAATTACACTTGGGCACATTTCAGCATGTGTAACCTTGGTGCAATTAAATTTTTATAATGAAAGTAATGGTTTCCCAAAAAGTATCTTGTGCAAATTCGCAATGAGAACTGCTTTCCATGAGTTAGCTTGATATTCCTCACATAACGTATCTGTCAATGGGATCTACTGAACACTTAATTCAGTTTTTAGGAGGAAGGAAATAACTCTAATAAAAATGACGAGATCTGTGACATAAGATGAGCTCTGCAACTTGCTATGTGACTTGAGCCAAGTCAATTTCCTTCTCTCTTGTTTCCTCCATTTGTCTTACTATCTGCCACCTACCTACATTACAAAGATGTCAGAGTAACAGAACTTTTATGATAGGACATATTGTATAAACCACTTGGAAGAAAACCTTTATATAAATTCAGAGTTCAATACCATAAATTTTAACCAAAAATGTGTCTTTTTGCGGGATCCCTGTCACTAATCACAGCTAAAGTTGTGATTTTTCAATAACTTAACAAGTACTTATTGAGCCCTTACTACGTGCCAAGGACTATTCTAAGAATTGGGGATATGGAAGTGAGCAAAATAGACAAATGCATGGAGCTTGGACGTAGTAAGAGAATACATGAAACAAAAAAAAAGTGACTGTATTGCATGTTAGACGGTGATAATTGCTACTGACAAGGATAATGCAGGAAAGGCAAATACCAAATGGCGGGGGTTGCAATTAGGTCTCTAGAGAGGGACTCCCTAAGAAGGTGATACTTACAGACCTGACGGAGGTAGGTTAACGAGATAAAGGAAGAGCACTTCAGAGGAACAGCGAGCAGAAAGGCCCTGCACTGAGCTCCCCCCCCCCCAACCAAGTAATGAAAGAACCATAAGGAAGCTTGAGATTGAAATGGACACGTGCATGTGCAGGGTAGAAAATGCGATCAGAGCTGAAGAGAAAATGGTGTTAAGACCTCGTGGGCTACTGTAAGGCCTTTGGTTTTCATTCACAGCGCAAGTCTCTCTGTAGGGTTTCAAGCAGAGAAGTGACAGGAGTGACTTTTTCAAGTTAAGTTTGAGAAGACTAAAGATTAGGCGTCTTAAGATAACTAAATCAAGCCAGAATTTACGTTTAAGAATTTAAAGTTGAGAAGAGCACCTGAAAAACCAAAGAACAGGCCACACGAGAAATCCCTAGTTGCCCACAGGATGCTGACGATGGGAACCAGCTGTGACAGCTCAACAATCATGGCTCAACAGATTTCCTGTGACGGACCCAGTCCCTGCTGGTGGGAAATGCCGTAACTCTTCAATATAAAATCACTCCGTCGGTCTAATGCACCTGAAAGACCCTTCCAGGATTTGACAGGCCACGTATTAACAACAACTGCTCTCAACCTCGCGAAGAGTGGGGGGAACCCAGTGTTGGCCCCATCTGAAAGATGTGAACACGGAGATCCGAAGCAAGAGTCTCAAAGTCAACCGAGCTGCCTGCCCCGGAGAGCGCGGTTTTTCCGAACTTCAGGGCGTCTGCGTCCCACCTCCGGCCCCGACACCGAGGCGGTGTGCAGCGGGCAAGTCCATCTTCCGCGGGTTACAGGTAGGCTCCACCCCACACGACAAATCACTGTCAGAGCCGCCGCGCCTCCCCACCCCCGGGCTCCGACTCGGCCCCCAGCTCGCTCCCCGCGGGGGGCCTGCGGGTGGGCCCGGCCTGGGGCGGGCGGTGGGGCGGTGGGGGTGGGGAGTGGGGAGAAGGCGGGTCCCAGCGGAAACTCCCGGCCTCGCCTTCCCCAGCCACGCGCTCCGGCGGACGCAGGCGCCTCCGCCCCGAGGGAGCAGGCGGCGGTGTTGCCACGGCAACGCCAGGGGACAGGGGCTGGGGGGCGCAGCTGGAAGGCCTTCCGGGGCCGGGGGCGCGGGCCGGGGGGAGGGGGCGCGCGCAGGGAGCGGCCAGCCAGCGGCTCGCTCCTTCCTAGGAACAGCCCGCCCGCCACTCCTCAATCAATGGGTTTCCCACCACCGCCGCCGCGTAGCCCCGTTCGCGCCCACCAACCCACTCACAATTCCTTAATCAGCACCATCTTCCCGGAACCCCCTCACAGCTGCCGCCGCTACCACCGCCGCCGCCGCCGCCGCTACCGCCCCTCACGGCGCCTGCGCGGCCCCGCCTCCTTGCCCCCCCCCCCCACGAACCACCGCGGCGCCTGCGCGTTCACGCCCTTCCGCCGCGACTCGTCGCGTCAGCGCGCGCGAGGGGCTGGCTCCTCCCCCGCCCCGCGCCCCACCCTGGGCTGGCGGGGCTTGCACTGAGGCTGCGCGGCTGGCTGAGCCGGCGGGAGGGAGGGGAGGTGCAGCTTCTACTGCGGCTGCGCGCGCCGGGCGCGCGGTCGCTCCGCCCCTTCTCGCGGGAGCCCCGCCCCCCGTCGAGGTCCCTCGGGGCGAGAGTGGCGCCTACGCTCTCTGGTGAGTTTTCCAGTCGGTTCCCTGGAAGCCGTTTCCCGCGAGCGAGCCGCGCTCGACTTCCTCGCGCTCCTCGTCTCCTTGAGCTCTCATTCCAGGGTCCGTGCGAGAGACTTGGGGCGGGTGGGGGAGGCCGCGTCGGGTTCCGTGGGACGGAGGCTCACCTGTGCGCGCAGCCCGGGGGCCGCTGCTCACCGGCTCGGGCCAGCCGAGGCCCCCGCGAGCGCCCGGCGCGGGAGAGGGACGTCACGGGAGGAGCGCCCGCCCCTGGCGACGAGCCCCCCCCCGGGGATGGGGGGACACGGCCTGGAGAGGGGCCTGGGTGGGAGGAGGCTCGGCAGCCGCAGGAGCACCCAGGGACCCTCCCTCCACGCACACCCAGGCTGCAGCCTGCCCGGTCCACCGGGCGGGCCTCGGGATGAGTGATGGCTGGGGGAGCCGGGGGGGGGGGGGGGACCTCGGGATGAGTGGTGGCTGGGGGAGCCGGGGGGGGGGGACCTCGGGATGAGTGGTGGCTGGGGGAGCCGGGGGGGGGGGACCTCGGGATGAGTGGTGGCTGGGGGAGCCGGGGGGGGGGGACCTCGGGATGAGTGGTGGCTGGGGGAGCCGGGGGGGGGGGACCTCGGGATGAGTGGTGGCTGGGGGAGCCGGGGGGGGGGAGGACCTCGGGATGAGTGGTGGCTGGGGGGGCGGGGGGGGGACCTCGGGATGAGTGGTGGCTGGGGGAGCCGGGGGGGGCCTCGGGATGAGTGGTGGCTGGGGGGGCGGGGGGGGGACCTCGGGATGAGTGGTGGCTGGGGGAGCCGGGGGGGGCCTCGGGATGAGTGGTGGCTGGGGGAGCCGGGGGGGGGGGGACCTCGGGATGAGTGGTGGCTGGGGGAGCCGGGGGGGGGGACCTCGGGATGAGTGGTGGCTGGGGGGGCGGGGGGGGCCTCGGGATGAGTGGTGGCTGGGGGGCCGGGGGGGGACCTCGGGATGAGTGGTGGCTGGGGGGGGCGGGGGGGGACCTCGGGATGAGTGGTGGCTGGGGGGGCCGGGGGGGGACCTCGGGATGAGTGGTGGCTGGGGGGGCGGGGGGGGGACCTCGGGATGAGTGGTGGCTGGGGGAGCGGGGGGGGGGGACCTCGGGATGAGTGGTGGCTGGGGGAGCGGGGGGGGACCTCGGGATGAGTGGTGGCTGGGGGAGCGGGGGGGGACCTCGGGATGAGTGGTGGCTGGGGGGGCGGGGGGGGACCTCGGGATGAGTGGTGGCTGGGGGGGCGGGGGGGGGGACCTCGGGATGAGTGGTGGCTGGGGGAGCGGGGGGGGACCTCGGGATGAGTGGTGGCTGGGGGGGCGGGGGGGGCCTCGGGATGAGTGGTGGCTGGGGGAGCGGGGGGGGACCTCGGGATGAGTGGTGGCTGGGGGGGCGGGGGGGGCCTCGGGATGAGTGGTGGCTGGGGGGCGGGGGGGGGACCTCGGGATGAGTGGTGGCTGGGGGGGCGGGGGGGGGACCTCGGGATGAGTGGTGGCTGGGGGGGCGGGGGGGGGACCTCGGGATGAGTGGTGGCTGGGGGAGCCGGGGGGGGGGGAGGACCTCGGGATGAATGGTGGCTGGGGGGGCGGGGGGGGGGACCTCGGGATGAGTGGTGGCTGGGGGAGCCGGGGGGGGCCTCGGGATGAGTGGTGGCTGGGGGAGCCGGGGGGGGGGGACCTCGGGATGAGTGGTGGCTGGGGGGGCGGGGGGGGGGGACCTCGGGATGAGTGGTGGCTGGGGGAGCCGGGGGGGGCCTCGGGATGAGTGGTGGCTGGGGGAGCCGGGGGGGGGGACCTCGGGATGAGTGGTGGCTGGGGGAGCCGGGGGGGGGGGGACCTCGGGATGAGTGGTGGCTGGGGGAGCCGGGGGGGGGGACCTCGGGATGAGTGGTGGCTGGGGGGGCGGGGGGGGGACCTCGGGATGAGTGGTGGCTGGGGGGGCGGGGGGGGCCTCGGGATGAGTGGTGGCTGGGGGGCCGGGGGGGGACCTCGGGATGAGTGGTGGCTGGGGGGGGCGGGGGGGGACCTCGGGATGAGTGGTGGCTGGGGGAGCGGGGGGGGGGACCTCGGGATGAGTGGTGGCTGGGGGGCCGGGGGGGGGGACCTCGGGATGAGTGGTGGCTGGGGGAGCGGGGGGGGACCTCGGGATGAGTGGTGGCTGGGGGAGCGGGGGGGGACCTCGGGATGAGTGGTGGCTGGGGGGGCGGGGGGGGCCTCGGGATGAGTGGTGGCTGGGGGGGCCGGGGGGGGAACCTCGGGATGAGTGGTGGCTGGGGGGGCGGGGGGGCCTCGGGATGAGTGGTGGCTGGGGGGGCCGGGGGGGGACCTCGGGATGAGTGGTGGCTGGGGTGGTGGGGGGGGGGACCTCGGGATGAGTGGTGGCTGGGGGGGCGGGGGGTGGCCTCGGGATGAGTGGTGGCTGGCTGGGGGGGGTGGGCTGCTTACTCGCTCACTCTGCCAGGCCCAGTTCTAGGCACCAGGGGTACATCTGGAAACAAAATCACAAAACCCTCAAGGTCCTTGACCTCCCCTGGGAACAAATCAGTTAGGGTTTGGCTTAGGGGTAAGCGCTATTCCATGAATAAGCGAAAAAGGGTTGTGGAGGGGGCAGTGTCCTCGAGGGAAGGACTGTGGAGGCCGTGCATGCTGGAGCCCGCCATTAGGATGGCCGGGTCTGAGGGGGCACTCCAGTTCGAGGAAGATAGCCTCCCAAGCCAGAATAAGCTTGGAGCATTGGAGGGATGCGGGGAGGATAGGTGTAGCTAGAACATCCTCAGTGAGGGACAAGGATAAACGGGGACTAAAGAGGTCACCAGGCCACAGTAAAGAATAAGAATTGTATTCTGAGAACTATGGGAAGCTGTTAGAAGATGGCTAGAAGAATAAACCAACGTTTAAAATGTTCGATACAGATCTGCGTGGTATATCTGGTGCTAGAACACACTTCGTGGAGTTAGGGGCTGCCTCCAAAGTAATAGAAGTGAAACATTTACCAAAACGCTAGAGATTTCCTCCTAAGGCAGTATCTGGGTATCATTTCTGTGATGTGTGAAGCACTTTGGTAGTTATTATCATGGCTACGATTCAAGGAAATGTGCCCTGTTTCAGGAGGTTAGAAGCTGGGAGCAGCTTCCATTGATTGGGCACCTGCCTTATGCCAAGTACTGTGCTAGGTAACAGAGATGCCTTATCTCATTTCATCCTTAGAGCAAGGCAATGAGATGAGCATTTTATTTTAGCAAGCTTTAGAACGGAAAGAAGATGAGGTTCCGAGAGCCAAATTAAGTGACCTGTACAAAGGTTAACTCAGCCAATTTGTTTAACAGAACCAGGCTTCAAATCTGGATTTTTAAAACTTCAGAATCTGGTCTTTCTACTACACTGACTTTTTTTTTTCTTTTTAGAAAAAAAAAAAATAGGAAGTTGGGGCTTACAATCTTTATGACAAATAATTCTCAATTATGAGAAGAAGAAGGTTATGGTAAATATAGAAGTTACTTAGAATAAAGAGAGTATGAGTTTGAATGGTATGTCCCTGTTTAGGTGTGTAATATATATATATATAGAGAGAGAGAGAGAGAGAGAGAGAAAATATTCTTTTTTTTTTTTAAAGATTTTATTTATTTACTCATGAGAGACACACACAGAGAGAGGCAGAGACACAGGCAGAGGGAGAAACAGGCTCCATGGAGGGAGACCTTGGACTCCCATCCCGGGTTTCCAGGGTCACGCCCTGAACCAAAGGCAGGCGCTCAACCGCTGAGCCACCTGGGCTGCCCTATTCTTTAAGGTCTGGAGGTAATATTAATTGCCAAACTTCTAGAAGTAGTCATTCTATGTCATCATCTCTCCTGAAATGTTATGCAGGCTGAAGATACAGCTTTGAAAACTTCGTGGATGAATTTGTGGCTGGCATGCTTTATCATTCATTTAGAAAAATTAGGATGTTGGATAAATTTCCCTGAAGTCTTACCTTAAAGTGTTTGTTAATTCCATTGTCTGCATAGCACATTTGAGTTTGCACTCAAATGTTTGTAAAATAGAGTGTGCTAGATGGAGCATAACTCTGAACCAGTATACAGTATGGATATTGTTTCCCTTTGCCATCCAAAGATTCATATTAAAACATTCTAGTGCCCCTGGTTGGCTCAGTCAGTTAAGCATCAGACTCTTGATTTAGTTCAGGTCATGATCTCAAGGTTGGCGGATGGATCCGCTTGGGATTTTCTCTCTCCCTTTGCCCCTCGTCTCCCTTCTTGCACTCTCGTGCTGTCTTAAAATAATAATAATAACATATGTAAAACATTCAATACAAACCACAAGGATAAATTTAGAAAATAACCAGTGTAGACATATTTATTGAGGGAAAAAAACATACTAGTTCAAAATTAGCAAGGTTGATAGAAAACATGAAATCTAGATATTGTGCTTTATATCTGCTTAGGAGATAAAAGTGGCAGAATGAGAGAATATTGAAGAGGACAAGAGAGCAGCAAAGACATGAGCCATTACCCCAAAATGAGAAAGAAGGACATACAAAGAAAAAGACCATTACAAATAAAAAATAAACTAATGGATTGTGTGGCGCATTCTTATTTTAAAGCTAAAGATGTTAGATTTTGCGCATTTTTCAAATAAAGACATAACTTATTAATAACTGTTTCTGGATATAGAAAAAAAACCAACATCTTTTAAGCCTGATGTTTCATTTGTTCTTTCAGCCCTCAACAAAGGTAACCTTTACACACAAGATGTACAATTGAACTTAACTAATTCTACATGCCTTATATAATCACCAATCTCATTTCTTGTATCATTCTGGAGCAAAGAGCTCATTGTAGTAATAATAATGGTAGATTTATTGAGGCAAATCAAAAGATCTCTGACCATGAGTGATATTTGGAACACATGTCCTCGTTGATAAAGTCCACCTCTGGTCAAAGAAATTCAGGTGTTCTTCAAATATAGTTCAGTTTCCCCCCCTTTTT